GAATAGAATGAATAGAATAGAATAGAATGAATAGAATAGAATAGAATGAATAAAATAGAATAGAATTAATAGAATAGATAATAGAATAGAACAGAATAAAGAATAGGAAAGAATAGAATACAGAATAGGAGAGTAGACTAGAATAGATTTAAGAACAGAATAGATTTAAGAATAGAATAGAAAAGAAAAGAAAAAAGAAAGCCTTCAAGAAGAGACTGGACTGCCATTTGTCAGGAATGGTATAGGGGCTCCTGCTTGGATGGGGGGTTGGACTAGATGACCTACAAGGTTCCTTCCAATTCTGTTAATCTGTAATCTTTTGAGAATAGAGTGCAGAATATGAATAGAATAGAATTAAGAATAGAACAGAAAAGAAATAATAATAGGAGGGAAGGGAAGAGAAGAGAAGAGAAGAGGAGGGGAGGCGAGATAGAAATAGAATAGAGATAAAGATGGAATTCTTTTTATTGGCCAAGTGTGATTGGACACACAAGGAATTTGTCTTTGGTGCAGAAACTCTCAGTGTCCTTACGACAACGAAGTGATAGGTCATAGATCATAGTTGCAATCACTCATCATAAGGTACAACAAGTGATAATATTAAATACCAGTCGGAGGTGGCATTCATTCATTCATTCCTTCCTTGTAGTGTATATCAGAGGTGCAGCGACCCCGTGAGAGCTGCCTGCAATGAAATTTCACTTTAATGTATGCCGACCGGTGCCCGTTCCAAGGGACCATCAAGTTATTCTAAGTATAAATTCTAAGTCTAACCTAGTAGGAAAGAAGACAAGAGAAGGAAGAGAAGAGCAAGGCAGCCTTACTACATGGATAACTATTTTTTAGGCCTAAGACAGTCGTGTGTGAATTGGGTTCAGCAGAGTAAGGGCAGGGACTGGGGGAGGGACGGCTTAATTGTTTTGTGCGCCGCTACGAAACTAGGTGGCGGGGCTTAGTTTTTGGGGATGAAAATAAGGAGGGGGAAAAAAAATCTGCCTCTGCATCCATCGTTATTCATCTGGCTAGCGTCCTGTCAGTGTGTGAGACAGTGGAGGGCTGTTTTGGAAACTGAAGCCGTATTTGCTGTGTGAGCAAGGAGGAGACAGCAAGGAGCCTGGGCGTGGCTTAGCTCAACTGTTCTGTACTAAAGCTGGTTGGAGCTGCTGTGAAACTGAAACTCCTCTGCTTGTGTTTTGCATTTGGAAGAGATTTCTTTTCAGGTGGGGAGGGGGAGTAGAACTCCTTAGCATCAGAGCCTGTTAATAATAATAATATAGGAAATACTCTAAATGCTCTGATGGTCATTTGGAAAAAAAACCCCTTTCTTAGTGAGCCCATAGAAGCCAAGAGGAGAATACATACCAAATTTCAAATTTGTAAGCTTTATGGTTCTGGAGATTTTGTGATGATGCATGAGGGGCATTTTGTTTTTATATATAGATAGACGATAGAAGGTAGATAGATAAAAGATAGATAGATAGATAGATAGATAGATAGATAGATAGATAGATAGATAGATAGATAGATAGATGGATGGATGGATGGATGGATGGATGGATGGATGGATGGATGGATGGATGGATAGATAATAGATAGATGATAGAGGATAGATATAAGATAGATGATAGATAGAAAGATGATAGAAGATAGATGATAGATAGATAGATGATCTATCTATCTATCTTCTATCATAGAGGCAAAGATAGATAGATAGATAGATAGATAGATAGATAGATAGATAGATAGACAGATGATTGATAGATAGATAGATAGATAGATAGATAGATAGATAGATAGAT